GCTCCCTCCAGCGTTTCTTTCCTTCCCGCCTGTCCCCCCCCATTCCCTCTCCGTTTATTTCTATGGGATCCCAGGATACGACACAGGTCCCCCCCCCATTTGAAAGGGTCTTCCGTTCTTCCAAACTCCGCATTCATAAACCCCTACAGCTCTTCATGGACATTTAAAACAATACCCAACTCCAAGTCCCAAGTATCATTTCAGATACCACCCGAGGCTTTGCCCGCTCTGCAGTCACAAACCCTGAGGTCCCCCCCTACCACACACACCAGACGCTGTGCTAGGTCCTTCCCTCCCAACAAGCCACTGAGGGAGCTTCATCAAGGAGCCACTCGGGGGCGGGTATTATTGTGGCTCAGAGAGGCTGCATGATCAGGTCACAGAGCTAGGGCATGACGGAGCCACTCAGCTCCCCTATATATAAAGCATATCTCTTCCCAGCCTTTTAATCATTCATTCAACAAATATTGGGCGGCGCCCACATTGCACTGGGGACTCAGCAGTGACGAGAATGCAAACAAGTAACCAGTTATGTGAAGGAGACAGCGATAAATGCCATAAGGGAAAGGAAACAGGGAGATATGCTGGGCTGAGGGTTACTTTAACCCGGGTGGGCGGTCAGGGAGGGCTTCTCTGAGGAGGTGGCATTTGAGCCGAGAAGGAGCCAGATCATGCAAGGCCTCAGAGGCCACAGCAAGGAGTCTGGGGTTGTTATTTTATTCAAGTGCAGCAGGCAGACGTTGGAGGGTTTAAGCAGGGGAGGGGCATCGCCTGGTTTATTATTTCTGAACATCCGGTGCCCTCTGTTCGATCCTGCCCTCAGATGCCCCGGAGATCAAGGTTGGCGTGGATGAAGAAGGCTTTATTTACTTGGCTTTCGAAGCTCCCGAGGCCCCCGACTCCTCAGAGTTTCAGTGGTCCAAGGACTACAAGGGCCCACTGGACCCCCAGAGGGTCAAGATCGAGGAGGGAGATAACAAGTGAGTGAGGGGAGGGGTGGCACAGCTAATCCATGGGTCCTACACGCTGTCAGATGAGTCACATGGGTGCAGAATCTCATGGGTGAGACCACTGGGCAGGACCCACAGATGATGAATGAAGGGGCCTTAGAGGGGCTGCCTGTGTCTCACTAAGGATGCTGGCTGCCACCTTAGGGTGAAATGAAGGAACAGGGAATTTAAGGAGCTGAAATGATAGCATTCATTTGGGGTCTTTTTCTGTAAGCAAATGCCTGTGCTTCCAAGGAGACATGTAAGACTTGCTTTCTAGCCTGGGAGTAAGTGACTTGTTCTTGGAACATCTCTGGGCTCAGCATCATCTCATTTGTAAAAAGAGGAGTTGGGAACAGATGATTACAAAGGTCCCTGTCAAATGCCCCCAGGTCTCACTCTCCACCCCCAGCAGCTCATGGCCTGGACCCTGTCCAGCAGGAGATAAAGCCGATGACTTGAGCTCTTGGGGGGAGAGACGGAGAGAGGCAGGGCAGGGCAGCCAGTAAGACCCTGAGCCAGACAGCCTGCTAATGGGGCCACTGAAGGCGCTGGGCCAGAGCTGCCCTGGGCAAGGGACCCCTGAGAAGGTGTGAGAGGCAGCCACTCCTGCTTCCCAGCTTGGCCAGGGTCTGGAGCTGGGCTGCAGGGCTCCAAAGCTGACGGAGACTCTCCAGCTCCCAGGCCTCTAGTGCATAAGGCCCCGCTCAGAGCATCTGCTCTCCTCTCTCTGCCAGGTCCAAGGTCATCCTGAAAGATCCTGGCCTCAAGGATTTGGGGACCTACTCAGTGGTGGTCACTGATGCTGATGAAGACATCTCAGCGAGCCACACGCTGACGGAAGAAGGTAATGTCCCTGCTCCACTGCCACCTGCCCAGAGACAGGCCCAGATCGAGAGTCCCCCAGAGGTGGGCAAAAAGCAACAAAAATTAGAAAAGCAGCGACTTCCAGAGAAGTGGGTCCTCACCCACCCATTCAGTCAGCCAGTCAATTAATAACTATCTAGTGAGCACCTTCCATATGCCAGATACTGTCCTAGGATTACATTGTGAATTCAATGGACAAAAATCCCTGCCTGAGACATTCTTGTCTCTCCTTTTCCTACTTCTGATAAAAGCAAAGGTACCAGAATTATTTCACTTCCTTCTGTAGCCTAAAAATAACGACCCCAAAACCCCAAAAAGGATTTGGTCAGAGGAATGAGGATGGCAATAGGGAGCAGTGGGGATTATGACAAACCATAGAGTAGATGCCATGTCTAAAGGGTTATCCATGTTTGATGATTTAAACAGAACTGAAATCAGTGCTAATGACTGACAGACTCACTCTCTGCTGTCTCCATAGCAGCCAAGGGACAGCCCATTGTCTTCTCTGCCGACTTCCCAGGAGGTCCTTTGATTTTGTTAAGAAGTAGAAGCCAGACAGGCCCAATTGCAATTCCACAATTTTCTGGCTGTTTGACCTGGAGCAAGTCCTGTCACCTCTCTGGGCCTCAACTAAAACAACGTTATGCAGATACATTTAGATGATTCTATGCAAACTAAAGCCATCAACGAAAGGGGTGGGGTTTTTGTTTTGTTTTGTTTTGTTTTGTTTTGTTTTGAATGGATTCTTGCTATGCATCTAGAATCATCATGCTAAAGACTCTGGGGCTTACGCAGAAAAAGAGTGTGGGCTCTGCCCCTGCCAATTCATCCACACAACACACATTTATTGGGCACGTACTGTGTGCCAGACACTCATGTAGATCCAGAGCTCAGCCTAAAAGGAGAGACAAACAAACCTAACATAAAGTAGCAGTTAGCAAATGAGGCAGCACTCTGCAGAGCTGCCCTAGAGACTTCTAGACTGAAGTCTCAGTGTTGGGGCCAGGCCTCAGAGACTGGGACAGTATATTACAGGGTGTTAAAATAGGGTTCAGAACCCAGTGGGCCTGGAGAGGGCAGAGGTGGACAATAATGCTCACCCCACAGCATTATGTGAGGACTAGTGAGATAATGCAGCGCCTGGCACATAGTAGGTGCTTCTCTGGGCAGGTGGCACTTGATCTCAAGGTGACCTGCAGCAGCCCTCTGCATCTTCCTCGTGCCCCAGGGCTAAGGCACACAGTGTTCATCATCAACTCCTGTGTTGCAAGTGACCCCAAATTGAGGGGGTGTCTCTGGGAACTTTCACCCAGCATGGACCCTAAGGTGGCTCCCATGGACCCCACTGGCTCCAGTATTTCATTTTCTTTGGTTTCTTCCTTGCTCCTCCCTGTCCCAGAGCTGGACAAGCTGAAGAAGTTGAGCCACGAGATCAGAAACCCAGGTAAGCAATCCTCAGGCACCTCCTGGGCTGTTTGGAGCAGAGCTGAGTCAGCAAGAGCCAAAAACTAGCTGGGAGGGGAGAGGAGGGGAGCAGAGGGTGAGGGCATCTTAGGGCTGGAGGGCCAGAGACCTGGGGTTTCAGCGGTCTGTGAGATGGAAAAAGGAAGCCAGCAGGGTGGAAAGGGGGTGAAGGGAGGGCAGACTGGATGTTTCTACTTAGTTGGATTTTGGATCATTGAAACTTCTGCTTCCCTCCACTGGCCAGCAGTGCGCAGGGGTCATAACTTGGGTGCACACTGGAATCACCCCAGGAGCTTTTCAAAACCCGATGCCCAGGCCGCACCCCAGACAAGTCAGAACCTCGGGGCCTGAGCCTAGACATTGGTGGTTTTGAAAGGCCTCAGGGATACAGTGTCCAGCCTCTGAGGCGTGGGAAGAGGAAACATCTCCTTGAAATGAATTCACTCTAGAGTGAGCGTGCGTAAAGCCCTCCTCAGACCCCCCACCCCACCCCAGTCATTTCTCCTTAGACATTCAAGCACTGTGCAGAAATGCTCAGGGCAGGGCTGGTGAGAGGAGGGAGGGGGGAAGGGTCCCCCCCCCCCTTCCTGAGCTCTGCCTGCTGCCTCCCAGTGATCAAGCTGATCTCGGGCTGGAACATTGACATCCTGGAGCGAGGAGAGGTGCGGCTTTGGCTGGAAGTGGAAAAGTTATCTCCGGCCGCTGAGCTGCATCTAATCTTCAACGAGAAGGAGATCTTCAGCTCCCCGGTAAGTGGAACTCAGGCTCCTAAGAGAGGTTCCCCCCAGCACCCCAGCACGTGGCTTCCCCAGGCAGTGGTTCCTCACGAGGCGGCAGCACCCCCTAGCGGGCATTTCAGAACCGGCCACAGGCTTTGGCTGGCACAGTGAGGTGGGGATGGATGACACCCGGTTTTCAGCACCTGGGTAGCAGATGGTAGGGACGGTAGATGCCTGCCCATGTGAGGGGCAACCCCACAAAGAACTTCCCACGCCCTCTACAACTTCGAATGTCCCGCCAGACATTCTTCAGATGAAAAACCTACATTTATGCTTACAACTATCCAAGCCTAGACCCTAACTCTGAGATATAGAGAATTTTTGCACAGTTTTACTATACACTAAATAGAGTTTTTATTCAAGTAGACACTTCGCCTATGCTCTTTCATTCATTTTCCTGTTCTCGTGCCGAATCGTCTTTATCCTTTTGCTTTTCTCACCTCTCTTCAATTCAAACCAAATCATTATAAACCAGTGCAGCCTGAGAGCGTATCTGAGCACCTGTGTATTGAAAATCATGTTACTTCTATTTTATCTTCCTATTATAGCTGTGGCATTCCATTGCTTTTTATTAGTTGACTCACATGAATTGCCCATAGTCAACTGTTTTTACTACTTAGAAATATGACAATTTCAATCTCATGACAGATTCAATCATGAGATCATACTGTTTGTGAATTTTATCGCCCTCAGAAACTATGTCTTATAGACAGGGCGCTGGTTCTGACAGAGGAGAGAGAGCTCGGGGCTGATGTCACAGGACCCACATCATCCCCTATCGGTTGTGTGCCCTCGGGCAGAGCCCTTCCCCTCTCTGTGCCTCTGTTTCTGCATCTGTACAATGGGGCTGGTTGGCCCAGACTCAGGACAAGCAAATGAGCAAATAGATTTGAATGTTCCGCTTCATGATTAAACATGAAGAGAAAGTGTCACAAAGTCCAGACTCTTAGTACACAGCAGTGGCCCTGAGAGAAATATAAAATAAAACTAAATGGCTCTCTCAAACCACACATACAAATAAGGCTGGGGGAGTAAGGTTCTAAATGTGGAAAAGAAAACTTTTAAAAACTGTTAGGATGTGACAAAATATAAACGAGTGTTAATTCTGGGTAGCAAGGGCACAGGCTTTTTAAATATTATCCTTTATGCTTTTATGAAGACAGGAAATAACAAACAAAAAAAGTGATGCAATAGGGGAATGGGGTTTATTATTATTTGCAATTAATCCAGGCGCCCAAGGCTCATTCCTGTGCCTGCGGGCCCCCATGGGTTCTTCCCTGCCTAGTGTGAGGAGAGCCCCATGCTATAAGCGGCAGAGGGTTATCCAGGGCTCCCTCCCCATCCCTAAGGCTTCTGACTGCACATATCATNCAGAGGGTTATCCAGGGCTCCCTCCCCATCCCTAAGACTTCTGACTCTGCACATATCACCCCCCAAGTCCACCCGCACCCCAACCTGTGTCCCACAGTGCAAATTCCCTGGGATTGGAAAAGGGCCAAAGTGATTCTTGGGCTTTGTTCTCCCCAGAATCGCAAAATCAACTTTGAGCGAGAGAAGGGCCTGGTGGAAGTGATAATCGAGAACTTGTCTGAGGATGACAAAGGGTCATACACAGCTCAGCTCCAAGACGGGAAAGCCAAAAACCAGGTCACCCTGGCCCTGGTGGATGACGGTGAGTGGCGCCCTGCCCACCCCACCCACGCGCCAGGCCTCAGCTCTCAGCTCTGGGCTCTTCTGCCCACCCTGACGCCCCTCTCTGGACCTGTGTTCCTCTTGGCTCATGCCAGCCCCTCCCTGTGTGTTCACAGATTTTGACAAACTTCTGAGGAAGGCAGATGCTAAGAAAAGAGACTGGAAGAGAAAACAGGGTAAGATTTGCTGGAGTGAAGTTCAGAGGCTCGGCCACCAGGCCGGGGGTCAGTGCTGGGGAACTCTGGACTGGTGGGGGAATAGATCCCCCAGCCCTGCTGGGCCCTCAGGGGAGAGCCACTGCCATTCAATCCACCGCTGTCCCCGTGCCAGAACGAAAGAGCACCTGCCCAACCAGGAGAGTGAGTGCCTCCCTACACTCTGCACCCCAGGCCCCACCCCAGCCTCACCCCAGGCCCCACCCCAGCTGTCTTCCCTGGTCTTGCCACCAGGCGGCGCCCTGGCTGAGCCTGGAGCTCTGACTGGTGGGCGTGTTTGTTTTGCACTTGCAGGTCCCTATTTTGAGGAGTTCTTACAGTGGAAGGTCACGGAGGACTGCCAAGTGCTGCTGACCTGCAAGGCAAATCCCTATACCTGCCTCCAGCCCTGCCCCCAGGCCTTCCCCCAGGCCCATAGCAGTTTCTCCCCAAGCCCGGTGGCTGTACTTGCCCCGCTCCCCCCTGTGCTTGGCTAATCCCACACCGGGAAAGAACCTCAGGGGGACTGCATTTAACCAGAAAGCAAAGCTACCTTCACAGAGCCCAGGGAGCAGAATTCGTGTGAGCTGGGTCAGCCTTCAACTAGATCTCCAAGCTGCACCGGGTGGGGGTTCTTTGGGGCCCAGAGTCTGAGAACAGGTGAGGGGTCTGTGTGTTGAAGGGGTTCCCTGGTGGCTGTTGGCAGCCTTGCCAGACACTCTGCTCGGTGCCTCAGAGCATTGTTGTATTTCATCTGCTTCACGAGCATCTGTGAGTTAGGCATTGTTATCCCCAGTTTACTGGTGAGAAACAAATGGGGAAATAGGCCAAGATCAAGAGGTGGAGCCTGGACTCTGTCTGACTCCCAAGTGGTGCTCCTTCTCGGCACCCTGCAGCCTCTCTGGGGAACTGAGGGAGGGGAGAGTGGGAGAGGGCACTCTCCCAGGAGCATATCCATTCGGCAAACTCGAAGCACCTACTATGCACCAGACACTCTGCAAGGCACTGGCATACAGGGAGAAAGAATTGGTCTCCTTAGAGTCCAAATCAGGATCCCTGGGAAACAGCGTGCCTCCTGCTGTGACCGAGACGTGCAGGAAATTGATTAATCATGAGGGGGTGCTTCAAGGAAGGCTTCCTGAAGGAGGTGACATCTAATAAGTCTAAGATACATAGGCGATTACATGGAAAAATCAAGTAGGGAAGGGATCAAGAGGCAGAGGGAACACCATTAGCAAAAGTCCAGACTTCCAAAGCAAGCAGAGACATAGGTGTGAGGAAGAAGATGCATGAGACTTAGGGTGAGGGTGGGTATGTGCCGTGGGGGGGGGGCAGGGGAAGGGAGGAGGTGTCACATTTGTTTAAAAAAAAAAAATTCTGATGAGCTGAGCTTTTACTTTAAAAGAGGAAGCCTGGCAGAGTCTCATTCTCTGCTTGCCTCAGGTGACCAACACCAAGAAGGAAACCCGCTTCCAGTGGTTCTTCCAGAAGAGAGAGGCGCCGGACGGTCAGTATGACCCGGAGACTGGAGCAGGGCTTCTCTGCATCGAGGAGGTCAGTGCAGCTCCCACTTCACGGCTCACACCCTCTAGGCTGTGCCCGGAGCACTGGGTGGAGAGCCAGAAGCAGGGCCAGGAGGGGGTGAGGCAGGTGAGGCACTCAAGGGGCACTAGAGACTCAGTAATCAAGATAAATAACATTTCATGCAATATTTTTTAAAAAATCAAAATTAATGCAAAAAAAAAAAAAAAAAAAAGACTATGGGGTAGACAATACCAAAATTTTAAATAAAGGCAGGATCAGTCATACTGATTTTTCCTTCTGTTTGGACTCCAGTCCTGGCCCTGCCACTGTGTGGCCTTGGGCTGGTCACGGTTCCTCTCTGACCTGATTTCACCTGTGACATGAGAGGACTGGAAGGGGTGCTCTTTCTAAGGTTCCTCCTGCCCGACAGTCTAGGATTTTAGGACGAGAGGTGGGCACCAGGCCTGGAACTCAGTCCACCCACCCCCGTGCCCCGTGGCCTCCGAGGAGTGCGGCCTGGTTAAGACAGAAATGCGATTCTTGTTCTCAAACGTCCCATGCTTTTCCGCCCCGCTGCTGGTTTCTGTGGCCTCACTGCGTGCCCAGGAGGACCGGAGCAAGGGCAGGTTTGCTGACTAGGAAGGAAATGACCGTTTCAGGGTCTTCTCCCAAATCCCTGCCAGGACGATGCCAACCTGGCCTTCGTCATCGTGGTGCTAGCTCCTCACACAGGGCCTGGCACTGAGTAGGTGCTTACTGGCGACTGAGTCCTACACTCATCCGGCCCCTTCGTTCGTGCAGAACTTCCTGGCTTCCCAAGAGGCACCTCCCCTGGTCCCCACAGCAACAGCAGCACGTAGCCAGGCCGAGGATCATGCCACCACCTTAGATGAGTAAACTGAGGCTCAGGGGGTTTAAGTACCAACAGAGAGTGGGGTCAGCAGTCACTCCAGTGGCCTTCCCCGGGGTGTGTTGGGGACTTTGGAGGCTTCCCTGGGGGAGGAAGGGAAGGACCTAGGGGAGGACTATCGGGGTTCAGACCTCTGATCCCCAGGTTAGGAACTGCCTCTGCCTTGGAGGCTGCCTCACAGCCCACTATGTAGAAATGGTCAGGGTGGGGGGCCCTTTGAAGGGACAGGAAGACAAATATCACTCCCCAGGCCCTGAGGGAGACACTGTGTGATGAGACGGACCCTGTTTTAAAAGTGCCACCCAAGTTATTGGTTTACTGAGTGCTGATTCAGGCTTCGTTTGGGGGTTAACAAGCATGTGCCAGAGAGGACCCCCTTGTCCTGGGCAAAAGAACACACTGCCTTCTGGAGAAGTACAGAGGAGCCCCTCTTCCCAGGGCCCCCAGGGCGGCCCAGGGAGAGGGGGAGCCAGGCTCAGACAATCCCCACGAGGAGGGGACACTGTGCCCTGCTTGGAGCAGCTGCTCTCAGCTCTCCATCCCCCACATCCTCAGACCCAGACCAGCCCTGAGTTGGAATCAGGGGGCTCTGGAGCTGGAGGGAGCCTTAGAGCTCACCCCTTCCAGCTGGGTAAACTGAGACCCGAGGAGGAGAAGGGTCTTGCCTGAGATCACACAGAGAACTAAGGCCGGCCTGGAGCCCAGGCTGACCCTGCCTTCACTCATCCTTCTTTCCAGTTGTCCAAGGAGGACATGGGAACTTATAGAGCGATGGTTTCTGATGACCGAGGCGAGGACAATACCATACTGGACCTCACCGGGGAAGGTAGGAGCTGGCGATGTTGGAGATAGGCCAGAGGGGCTGTGGGGAGATTATAATGAACCAAGAGACAGTGATATGCCCTGTGGGGTAAGATGTATGGGATCCTCATGTTACTTGGAGCAACTGAAGCCCAGAGAGGTTAAGCGACTGGCCCAAGGCTGCACAGCTAGTCAATGGCAGAGGCCTGATCTGTGTGACACTGATGCCTGTGTTCTCTGAAACATACCACAGTGAGCTCAGGTTCAAGACTCAGAGCCCAAGTTCCCTCCTCTGCCCCACAGTGGGCCCCGGCTCCTCACCCAGCTTGTCGGCTCAGCTGGCAAAAATATTGTGAGGTCGGCCCATGTGCCCTCCATCTGTGGTGCCCCCTGCCCCATCAATCACTGAGTGCCCAGACCCCCCCATCCCCCTGCCATGGGAGTCATCCTGCAGAGCTCCTTGTGCCCCAAGAGCTGCTTGTGAGCTCCACCAGCCTTTCCAAGGCTGTCCCCATCCTGGTGGGTCCATAGGGGGTTCTGACATCCGCTGGCCATTCTCTCTGTCTCCTTCCAGCCCTGGACGCCGTCTTCACTGAGCTGGGCAGGATTGGTGGTAAGCCTCTCTCTCTGCCCAGCCCTGCCCTGAAGCCAAACCACCTCCAGGGCACTGCCAACCGGCCTGGCTCCTGGGGGTGGGTTTAGTCTCCAAATCCTTAGACAGGGGGTGGGGGAAGGAGAAGCTCCTGCCTCCTCACAACACTGAATCCTCCCACCACACCCGAGAGCAGGGACAAGCTGGCAGGCCCCAAAATGTGCTGCCCAAAAAAGCTTGGGGGAGACTCACGCTTCTCCTCTGCCTCCCCAGTCCTCTCTGCAACCCCACTGACAATCCAGGGCACTGAGGAGGGGATCCGGATCTTCAGCAAGGTCAAGTACTACAACGTGGAGTACATGAAGACCACCTGGTTCCACAAGTAGGTCGGCTTTACCCTGTAGGGGAGCCCAGCACCTGCCCCAGCCCAGTCCCAAGGGGTCAGCAGACAGGGTCTCCCACTGGTCCTGTTGCCCACAGAGGGAGTCAGGAATGGGGAGCAGAAGGGAGATCCCCCAGGGAAGGTGGATAGCCTGGTGGTAGGACCATTTTTTTGAGAATATCCACGACCACAGAAGGATCATTGTCTTAGAGCAGCGTCTGGAACTGGGGGAGGAAAGGGTGCAAGAACAAGGGAGAACCAGACAGTCAGGTGGGGGTCATGGTGCCCTTGTGGGTCTTTGGGGCCTTAGCAAACTCAGGCTCATGCAGAGAGACTGACAGCTAACTGAGGGCCAGGGCTTGCAGGCAGGATAGATAAGGTATCCATGAAGACTTGGCCGTGAACTAAGTGACTCCAGATAGTTTGAGAGCAGGATTTTCCTGGTGCTTCTGGTCATTTGCACTCCTCAGCCTTGTGGAGCAGACGTTGCTGCGCCCATTCTGTGGAGAAGGCTAGACTGGCTTGGTCAAGTCTCTCAAATGAGTGAGAGTTAAGGCCAAGTTGAAATCTAGGATAATGAAGCTCCTACTGTAGGGTGTCTGAGCCCTGTGACTAAGCCCTAGAGGTGTCACTTCTGCAACACAACACTGGGGGCATGGGCCAGGTGGCTCCAGGAATGAACTTTAAGTTAAAAAAAAAAAAAAGAGAAAAAGTTTATATGGTTTCTTTCTAAGGGCTAGGGGAGAGTGCTTGCGGAAGAAACCCAGGAAGGGTTTAAGATGAGGAGGTGACCAGTGCTCACGGACCCTGGAGCACAGCACCATTTCCTCCGATTCCCAGCCTGCAGGACATGTCGCGAGTACAGACTCAGCAGTGGCACACAGTCGACCTGCCACAGGATTTGATGACTGGATGGACGGATGAGTGATGAATGGAGGAGTGCATGAATAGTTGTGGAATGTCTCATGGATGGTCACCACCTTCAGCCCACAAATCTGGAACAGAACCCCAGGAGAGGAGCTTGGGGGGGCCTGTGGACCTGCGCACAGACAGCCTGTCCTGAGCAGCTAGTGCTGATGGGCTGAGCCGGGTTAACCATTTGTTTGCCCTCACATTCAGAGAGAAGCGCCTGGAGAGTGGTGACCGGGCGAGGGCTGGCACCACGCTGGATGAGATCTGGCTCCACATCCTGGATCCCAAAGACTCAGATAAGGGCAGATACACCCTGGAGATCGCTGCCGGGAAGGAGGTCCGCCAGCTCTCAACCGATCTCTCAGGGCAAGGTGACTGTCCACCTGCCTGTCCTCAGTGAAAACCCCGTGGTCTTTTGGGGGGATTCCCACCTCCCACCCAACCTGGCATTGGCTAAAGAGAATACCGGACTGGGAGGGAAGAGAGTGGAGGATCCGGTGCCCAGCCCTGTACCTGAGGGTCACAGGCAGACGCCCTGACACTCCCCTTTCCCTTCTCCCATTTCCTTCTCACAGCCTTTGACGACGCTTTGGCCGAGCACCAGAGACTGAAGTAAGTGTCCTCTGTGTTTCTCAGCGTAATTCACAGGCCCCTTGGGCCTGATGTGAACCGTGCACAGGACCCCTTTCTGGCAGCCCTGGCCAGCTCCTCCTTTCCCTCGTCACCCCCTCGCCCCCGCCCGGGCAGCTCTGTCCTTTGGCAAATGGAACCTCAAGCCTTTTCGTTTCTGTTTTTCAGGGCCCTGGCGATCATCGAGAAGAGTAAGTCCACCCGCACTCCTGCTGTTTTCATTTCACCGAGGCGGCTTCCGGGGAGCGTATGTCTCCTGGGAGGCTGCGAAGTCCCCGTGGGCCTCTGTGGCTCTGAGCTGTCACGGAGCTGCCAGGGAGACCTGGGCAGTGGCAGCAGGAAGACAGATGATAAGGAGTGGAGGGTATCTGAGGCCGTGGGTGTGGAAGCGCTCGGTGCGGGCCCGTCGCTGAGCAGGCCCGTGGGCAATGTCAGGTGCGACGTGAGGTGGGACCCGACAGGCAGGGGACAGACAAGAACCAGGCTGGGCGGGCCTCTCCGAGCCAGGTGCAGGGAGGGGATGACTCCAGAGCTGAAGCTGGTTCTGGCTGTTGGGACACCAGGGCCTCATCTAATTGAGGGCCCAGCCCCAAACCCAGAGGGACGTGGCGCGGTGTCTGAGCTGCCCGGGTGCCACCACCAGGTCCATGCACTCGAGCTTCGCCAGGTCTGCCCGGCCAGACCTAAACCACCAGTTCCGGGGGCCTGACTGTCTGGTCCCACTGACTGGTCCCAGCAGGTCAGAAGTAGGACTTTCAATGAGGAAAAGACTTCCAGTGGCAGAGCAGCCCTGACAACGCAACAAGGAAGGAAACCGAATGACTTTGAGGAACAGAAGCGAGGACTCAAACTCTGCTGGCTTGGGGTCGTTTGTGGGAGGGAGTGCAGGCCTTGGCGTTCATAAATATAACCTGGAAGGGGCCGTGCGGGGTCTAAGTGGCCTTGCAGGGGGCAGTCCTTGCAGGGGGCAGCCTCCTTGGTGGGCAGAGTGCAGCCCGGAGACCCCCCGCAGCCTGCGCCTTGCCAGGAGGAGCCCTGACAGGGTCATGGAGACTCTCAGGCCCGTCACTCCGCCAGCCTAATCACTCACCCAGCAAGAACATCTCCTCCCCTCCTGGAATGCGTGTCCCTGGGCAGGACACCTGTCCAGGACTCTACTAGAGGGAAGCCGAATTCTCCATATATGGTTGCGGGGGCTTGTGGGATCAAGGGTCAAGGGCAGTGGATCCTGTCACCCAGCTGTGAAGGGCTTGGTGAACATTCGGCAGCGTCCATCTCTGGGGCCTTCTCTCCTCCCCCCCTTCAGCATCCTGCTTCCCTTACATCCATTGGACTGCCACCAGCCCAGTGACAATCAGGCTCTTTGCACTTCCCTGATCCGCGCCCTAGGGTCCCTGCTGCCCACCCCTTCTGCTCCCACAGCCTCAATTGCAGCATAAGAAATATTTTGACTTCCTGTTTAGTGATGTACAGCTCACCCACAACAGCCACAGGTCCCCTCCCTGACCAGAGTGTGTCCCAAAAGCTTCCATCCCACTTTTCCTGGCCCCTCTCTTGAGTCTCAGGTTCGTCAACCACCTATTATGTGCATTTGGCCAGGCTAAGGCTCAAAGCAACCTTATATACTGACTTTCCCAGTTCTTGAAGGGATGGGTGTCACCTCCAGGTACCACCAATCACGATGATGACTTCAAGTCCATGACAGAAACACATTATGTCCCCTATCTTCTGTTTACGAAGGCAAGGGAACGTGGAATACAAATTTAAAGATTTCCACCCAAAATGATGAAAATAGGAAAAAGGAGCATCACTTAAAAACAAGCCTGACTCGATGGAAACTTGCTTCTGGGACGCGAGCTGCAGGAAAGCCTTCCTCACGGGGCTCTCATTTTCCCTTCCAGATCGTGCCAAGGTGGTGAGGGGCCTGCCAGACGTGGCCACAATCATGGAGGATAAGGTACGGACTGGCCCCAGCCCACAGGCAGCAGTCCCATGCTGTTCCTGCACGTAGCCATCAAAAATCATGGCACAGCCCTGGCCCATGGCTCAGTGGTTAGAGCGTTAACTCTCACACCGAAGGGTCGCAGGTTCGATTCCCAGGCAAGGGCACGTACCTGGGTTGCGGGCTTGATTCCCAGCCCTGGTCCGGGTACCTGCAGGAGGCAGCCAATCGACGTGTCTCTCTCACATTGATGTTTCTCTCTCTCTCCCTTCCATTCTCTCTGAAAAGCAATGGAAAAAATACCCTCGGGTCGGGATTAAAAGAAAAAAAAAAAGAATTTTCAAACTCAATTGATAAATCTTTGTATTAAAGCAACATAGCCTTATTTGCATATGTCATAATGACATATATGCAACAAAAAGCAATAAAGCAGAGTTCAGGCCCTTCTGGGGCAGATAATTGCCAGGATAATGATCTAAAATCCTAACTAGTAAGTATTCTTATAGAAAAATTGAGAATGGGCCCTGGTCTCTGTGGCTCAGTTGGCTGAGCATCATCCTGTGCACCCAAAGGTCACAGGTTCGATTCCTGATCAGGGCACATGCCCAGGTTGCAGGTTCGATCCCCTGTCAGGGCGCATATGGGAGGCAACCAATTGATGTTTCTGTCTTCTCTCTCCCTCCTTCCTCTCTCTCTAAAAACAAATCAATAAAAAAAGAAAGAAAGAAAAATTGAGGACAGAGGGTGTGGGGTTAAAGTAAAATGTCTCTCCCTTCGATGCTACCCCTTTATGTGATACAATAAGACACACTGGGTGAACTTACCACAAGGAGCATCTTGTGCTGGGAGCCCTCTGGGGCAGTGAGGTGAACGCCAGGGGTTACGACAAGGGGATGACTGAGCGTTTCCTTCCTCTCTTCCCAGACCCTGTGCCTGACCTGCGTCATCTCAGGAGACCCCGCCCCTGAAATTTCTTGGCTGAAGAATGACCAGCCTGTCACCTTCCTTGACCGCTACCACATGGAGGTGAGGGGGACAGAGGTCACCATCACCATCGAAAGGGTCAGCAGTGAGGACAGCGGGCGCTACGGCGTCTTTGTCAAGAACAAGTATGGCTCCGAGACGGGCCAGGTCACCATCAGCGTGTTCAAGCATGGGGAGGAGTTCAAGGTGCTGGAGAAGATGTGATCAGGCACAGCCGGAGGTCTAGTCTACATGGATCAGTAGGGTCAACCAGTGGGTCACAGCCTAGCACAGGCCCCAGCGGGGGGGTGAGGGGGAGACAGAGGGAAAAGGGATAGGGTGGAATGCGGGACACGGGGGTGGGGTGGAGTGGATACACCACAGTGGAACAGCAAAGACCTTGCTGGGGTCCCACGAGGCCTCCAGGATAGTGGGATCAGCCCTGGACTTGGAATAAGACACTACATGCAAGACCCAATTTCAACTCTCCACTCTCCATGAGCCTCGCCTTTCTCATCTATCAAATGGGAATTCCTACTCCTAGGGATTGTTTATGAAAACTCTTTATAAACCGTATACCAGTGGCTCTCCACCTGGGGGACAAAAAGCAATCTCCAAATTTTTGGTTGTCACAACTGGGGGTGTCTATTGGCAGAAGCATCTATTGGTAGAGGTCAGCTCCCCACCACATGGAATTATCCAACCCCAGATGTCAATAGTGCCAAGGTTGGTTTGCCCTGCCATAAAGTGATATATCACAATATCCCTCTTTTAGGATTCTGTATTTTCCACTCATGTAAGTTTGACAAACACTCATTTGAAGTCTAGCATGTGCCAGGCTGAGGATGGCATTGGGAACACAAAGGTAAATAATATTCAGTCCCTGCTGTTGAGGAAGCTTCAGCCCATTGGGAGAGTCAGACCTGGGTACAAATGACTCCAGGACAAGGCAGATGATAAGGTGTATAAACAGGTGCAAATAAAGTGCCACTCATGGTCGAAGGAGAGAGACAGATGCTCGTTNGACCTGGGTACAAATGACTCCAGGACAAGGCAGATGATAAGGTGTATAAAACAGGTGCAAATAAAGTGCCACTCATGGTCGAAGGAGAGAGATGCTCGTCCCAAGAAAGAGAAAGAAGGAAGGTTTTCAAACACCTTCACGGAACCAGCAGAATTGAGTTGGACCCTGAAAAATGAGTCCAACTTGGCGATGGTGGTGGGAGGAAGACATTTAAGGAGTGGAGCATGGCGAGAGCAGAGGCGAGGAGGTGGGTGACGCTGCCTTGGCAGTGTTGGATGCCAGGCTTGTGAGCTGGATGACCTTCAGGACTCCTTCCAGCTCAGGGTCTCTGCCTGCTGTGACAGATACCAGTTGGCCTTGCTTAATGGACCTCAATTCAGTACTGGGCATTTCACCACCCTCCAATTGCCTTCTTTTTTAAAGTAAAATTTGGATTGGGTAGGGTTTATTAAGTTATAGATGTATGTTGTAAAAAAAAAAAAAAATTACCCCTCTACTCTTACTTTCTCTCTAAAAATCAATAAAAACATATTAAAAAATTTTTTTTTCAAAACCATGAAAATTATAAAGGAGAAAATAAAAATTATCTATAGTTCCAACAGCAGAATATAACTCACCTCTGGTTTCTGAAATTAATTCTGAACTTGAGAATAAAATGAATCACTCCTACATCCTGCCACATGCATCAGTCATGGTGGGTAACATATCCCCCAGCTCATGTTCTGGGCTCATGGTGCAGGCAGACCAGGCATTTGGGGGCGGGTAGGCAGGGGAACCTGGCTGGGGATGAGTATGGGGAATTGTGCAGGTCTGGGAGGCAAACACACTTCGGGCAATTCTTTTCCTTTCTCTGGGCCTCTGTTTCCACCTATAAAAAAAGGTTGAAATCATTTTTGAGGGCCCTTTTAGCTGACACTAAGGTCTTAGTGTCATCAGATGGAAACTTTTCTCACTAGGGGCTTTGCTCTTATATTTCCATCAGATATCAGAGTGTTTTATGTGGTGTATCTGTTCTGAGTGCCTGCTGTTCTGAGTGCAAGTCTCTAACATGAATCATGTGTCAAACATATTTCACAAGAAAAAGGAACTCATGCTTTAGAGTCTCTGCCACAGCCTCAATTTGAGGGGCTTTCCCCCTGAGAAAGAAACCTCCACCACTTCCTCAATTTCAAAGATTATTTAGTCTTTCCCCTCATTCTACGGATGAGGAAGGGACTTGCCCAAGGTCACAGGGGGCCTTCTATGATTAACTAGGGCTGGCCTCCAGTTGCCCATTTGGTGAAACAAAGGCTATTTCCTTTGGGGCATCCTCAGGTGATCTCCAAGGTCTCTTATCTTTCTGGTCTCCTGGAAAATTCAGTCCTAGGAATGCCCAACTAATTCCTCTGCAAAGTCTCACTGCCAAATAGAACAAAATTGTGATAAAACTATCTTCCTCTGCTGGTAACACGCTAGAGTGACAAAACCTAACCGGGCAAGTTCCTTGCCTTTATAAAAAAACTAATGGCACCTCCTCAAGAGTGAGCTTTAAGTGATGATGTCTGATAGTTTCCACCCCCTTGCCTTCGCCAAGGCTCGACCAGGATAATTCACTTAAAAGAGTGGTTCCCGGGAGAATGTATTCAAAGTCAATATCGTTCCAGAGAGTGAACAAAACAAAGTCCTTTAGCTTCGGGTAAACTGGTCAGGATGTTAACAGTATTGGTTGTATTTTAGACAACAGAGAAGTTGAGCGGCTCGTGGGATATGCATGTGGAGATGCCCATGAGAAGTATATCTGTATGAACGAGAAATGTCACGTCAGGTCAGGTCAGGGCTGGGAGTCACATTCGGGATTCTTTAGGGGGCAGTGGGTGGCTTGCACCGTGGGCACCTAGAACAGTGGGCTGAAGAGAGGCCCAAGACCAACGACATTTCAGAGGCAGGAAATCGTTAAACCAGAGAATTAGCGAGCAGGCCGTGTTAGCTTCTAAATAAAGACTGGTAAACATTTAACACATGACTGCAATTTATCATCATCATCATCGTTCGGAATACAAATTGCAGCTTTCCCTACAGGAAGCTGTTCCTTCAGCTTCGTGTAACCCTCACAATCTACTTTGGAAGAAGCTATGGCTACTATTATCTCCCTTTTTCTTTTTTTATTTTACACATGGAAAAACTAAGGCACAGAAACTTGAAGCAACTTGTACACAAACAGCTGTCAAAGTTGGAAGTGTTCGAAGTTGAACTTTAAAGCCCAAGGTCTCCACTTGTATAGTGTAGGAAAGTAGAACAGAACACCGTTTAGGAAGATGCAAAATACGTTTTTAAAGTAATGCTGATAATGTCTCTGTCCCTCAAGAGCTCGGAAGAGCTCGAGCAGGTCTGGTGGTCTAGCCCAGGTGCGATGCTACCAACTGACAGCGGTGTTTGCACCTCACAGGAGATGTAACTGTAAACGGAGGCTTGTTTGAGAAGAAAATACTGCGATCATTTTCACCCCATCAGTGCAAAACATTTATAGAATAAAATGTTTTACGCATCAGTAAATATTTTTCATCCTTTGTCCATAAAAGTATTTTTCAGACTTTTGAAAAACAACCACCTGCATTTTATGCAAACTACGACTCCCTTAAAAAAAGAATTTTTTTTTTCAGTAATTGACTGCCCTTAGAAAAGATGGTTCCAACGCTCACACTTCCCGTTCTCAGGACGACGCTGCACACGGACTCGCATTCCGTCTACACGGCTGCCCTTCAAAAACATGGCAACATCCTGATTTCTCCGCCCTCTTCCAAGATGGCTTCCTCCACAACCTTGGGCCCCGGCCAGGCGCCTCTTCCGGGCTAGGCAGGGGGCGGGGTCCATTGAGTAACTTGCGTGCCGGCGCCCGCGACGGAGGCGCGTATCAGGACGCAGGCGCGGGGAGGGGGTTGGGAGGAGGGAAAGCGGCGAGTAAGATGGAAGATGAGGAGGTCGCTGAGAGCTGGGAGGAGGCGGCAGACAGCGGGGTAAGGAGGAGCCGCCGCCCCGGGGCAGGGCCGGGCGGGACCCGGCGTGAGGGAAGCCTCCAGAGAGTGGGTCTGAGGATGGTTCTCCCCAAGGAAGGGCCCCACACGCCGGGCGGGCAGTGGTGGAGAGGCCCCCGGTCTCGGAGCTCTGTGAAGGCCTCTTAAAGGGGCCGCATTCCATTTCTCCCTCCGCCTCTGCCCGGTGCGCCTCCTTCCGTCCCCCGACGTGCGCGTCACCCGAGGCGCCCCACCCGCCACCCAAGGCCTCTTTTCTTGGCCCCCGCGCTCTCTCGCTCGCTAGCTCGCTCGGGCCCCTTTGACCCTTCCTTCCCCGTCCGACCCTCTCGCCCGAGGCACCATTTTAAAGTTCCTGTGCCGTAAAGAGGAACGAAACACTGGGTGTCGTACGGGGCGGAGGGAGGGGTGGGTGCGCGGACCCGGGCGGCGTGCGGGGCTCCGGGGAAGGGCAGGAAGGGAAGCAGCCTTGTGCGGGCCCCTTCCCACTCTCTACTAAAATCCCCCACCGCCTTGCTCTATCCGCCACGGTAGGCGAATGTGGGGAGTTTTTTTCTTTCTTTCAGTTTTACTCTGAAAGCCTATTGCTAGTGGGTCTCCCAGGGACCCCGCCGGAAAGACCGTCAGCCCAGCGGGCAGACCTTTTCCCCGGGGACCCACCCAGCGATCGGAGCCCGGAGGGAGGGTCTCGGAACGTGCTCGCCGGCGTCCCGAGGGGAGGGGAGCGATCCGTACAGTATAAAGGAGCCGCATTCCAGGGAGAGGAGGGGGAAATGGGCTGTGTTGCTTTCGGGAGTTTTTCTTTGCCTCCCGAAGCTGTAGGAAAATAGTTTCGATCCCAAGCCGGAACAGCCAATTCTGTTAGGTTCGTGATTAATTTGGTCTTTTCAGAGTTTTGTGGTTTCGATGGATGGTGGCCCTTGTGAAGATGGGGAGATGTCCTTCTGGCCTCCCTCAGGTTTGTGTCTGTTCAGTGCTGCCTCGAGTGACATCTCCCTTAAAGGTTTCATCGGGAGTCGGTCGTGGAGAGCCGAGGGTCCCAGGGTAGAGCAGAGGCTCGGTTTCCTTCTCCAGACGCCGTTCACGGTGCTTGTCGGCTCTGGGAGAGGCCGAGCAACTGACCCTCGCAGCAGTGGGTGTATCTCTGCGGGAATGTTGAAACGTGGCTTTCAAGTTTTTTTCTGGAGGTTCAGCATTTCTCCCTCAGTGTGTTTGTTTTGCCATTTAGCCTGATTGAGAATTTGAAGAATTAATTTGTTCAAAAGGTATTTAGTACAGTTCTTACGGTCCGACCATCTTCCTTGGATTTTGTCTTGAGTAAGAAGAGCAGTTGAAAGATTTTTTTATAGGGAGCGACAGGTGCCACCTGGGCATTTATTCAGTCAACAAACATCTTTGAGTGTCTGCTGTGTGCTGGGCCGTGTGTGTGCGCTGAGCAGTGACTCTGTGCCAGGGAATGCAGAATTTCCGGAAGAGGCGCCTGTTGCCTACCACTAATGTGAGTGAATCATTCCGGCACCCCTCATGCCAGCCCTCTGCAGAAAAGCTGGGCCTACATTTTAAATGTGACTCAAATGATAAATTTCTTGAACATCTTGGCCTTTTTTTGTTTTTCCTCACCTATTTCAAAGGCACATGAATTTCTCACCTTAAAGAAGTAAGAAAATGAAAAACAAAAAGGAGTGAAGGATTCGGAAATTGGGGATTACTTTTTGTTTTTCACAAGGGGTAAGTTGCTTAGAGATCAGGGCACCCAGGACTGCGTTTTACAGCTAAATAAATGCCAGAGATGTAAGGTTTCACTTAGAAGCTTCCAATGCTTGTGTTCAGTGTTCTTTCTACTATCCTTTACTTTGTAGAACCCTTTAAAAGTTCTTAGGTACAGAGGTGGAACCCAAACCTTGCATCATTGAGCAGTAACTACCAAAATGCAAGATCCCTTATATTACCTTTTATTTAATTGAGCCATTGAAATAATCTGTAGAGGTGCTCCCCTCCTTTTTCTTTTTTCTTTTTTTAACTTACTGATTTGAAAGAGAGAGCAGGAGAGAGAGAGAGAAAACATCCATTCATTGCTCCACTTGCTTATGCACTCTTTAGTTGATTCTTCCATGTTCCCTGATAAGGGATCAAACCTGCAACCTTGGCGTTTGGGGACGACGCTCAAACCAACTGAACTACGGGGCCAGGGCCCATTATTCTCCTTTTATAAACAAGTACAGTGAGTTTAGGGAGTGACCTGTCCTCAAGGTCACACAGATGGTGAGTGGGGAAACTGGGACTTGACCCCAAGCCTGTCTGACTCCAAAGCTGTTTTTGTTTTCTAGCATTTTGCTGCCCCCCTTTACCTGGGAGCCTGGGGAAAACTTGGGAGTTGGGCATTAACTTTCATTTTTAATATGTTTACCTCAGGCTTATATTTGAAGTCTCTCTCGAATTTGATTCCCTTTCAAAATTCACAGAGGGTCTTGTAAATGTGCACTTTTGAAGGAGAGGAGCCAGGGAGACTGGGTGAAGCACTGTGTCCCCATC